CTTGGCTTCTCCACCTCTGACTCAGGTATTTCATTTTACAGAAAAGCTATTAACTTGTTGCCCAGAGAGATTTACCTGACTTGTATCACTCCTGGTTTTTCTTACATTTAGATGAATAAACCATTATAGGAAAGATCTGGGCCACTGAAAAAAAGTGTCTCCACTATTGAAGAGGTCTATTTGAAGTAGAAAAGACCAAACAAAACAATATTAGGCGTTGTTGCTGTTTGCTGTTGTTATCCAGGAGCAGCTATCCAACAAGAAGATATTGGAGGCAATAACAGAAATGCCTTCTGAGGTTTTTTTTAATTACTGCTGGTATTCTCCCTCTTATTTGGGACAGCTCTTAACCAGCTACCTCTGGAGGAAGAAATCACAAAAGATGGATCAGCTAATGCAGAAACCTAGGGATGATGAATATCAGTAGCTACATTACAGATTTCATGGGCCACATCCAAGCCATTCCAGTGGTCCCTGCTGAGCACCTGTTGAAGGGTGGGAGAAGAGAAACCAGCCTCAAAAAGCCTTAGGGCCAAGGGTCCTCTGTGCAGGACAGCAGCCACTCAACACAAACTTCTGGGATTTGTCTGAAAGGACTATTCTATGGTCAAATAGTATACATTTCCATACTGAGATATTTTTACTTTATTGGTTTTACTTTAAAAATAATTTATTTTCTAAAGAAAACCATTGCAGATTATCTTGGGAAAAGTTGCCTACACCACCAAGTTATTTTTCTTTGCTGTCTGTCTCATGTTCTTTAAAAACCCACACCATATCCTCCTAAAAGGCCTCCATTTCTTTCTCTCTGCCACATTGGAAATTCTTCACTTTAAATTGACTGACATTCAGGAAATAGCCATGCTAGAAAGCTTAGTGCAGCAAACTAGTCTGAAGTAGGTGTCTCACTGGGTCAGGATCAGTATGGAGACTTAATGTGTAAACTGGTTTCCACAGACATAAATTAAATTTAAAAGGCGTGGAAGACATGTTAATAAATTATTCATGTAATTTAAATCAGGTCCTTTGCAGCGCTGAGATTTAGGAAATTTTGTGTAGTTTTGGGGTTTTTTGATTGATTGCTTCCTGCATGGTCACTTGAAAAAAAAACAAAAGAAAACAAAACAACAACAACAAAAAAAAACAGCTGTATATCATTGTTCTGCAGACTTCAGAGAAAGGAAAAGAAACTGCTTGATTCACGAACAACATTCACCACAGGTAACAGGCACTGATTTATTTTCTCAGACTTCCAGTTCTGAATTATTCCCCAAAAGCCACTTGCTTTACAGTGGTAAAACCATAGTGCTCTAAACTCTTAATTAAGGTCACCAATCAAAATGGAAAAATTCAGCAGGAACACAAATATCTTCACAGGAAATTTTATGGTAAGTGAAAAACATTTATTAAGTCACAGAGACATTGCAATCTTGACCTGCCATAAGGTTGAAATAGTTGTAGTTTGAGATAGCTTTTGTTCATACAACGGGTAACAGAGTCAAACCATGTTTTCCATTTTGAAGGACTCCAAGAGCTTCCTCGGAGGCCCATCAGCACTAAAAGCATTTGTTCTTAAGCAGTGAGAGGCACTTTTTAGCATGCCTGCAATATATCTGCAAATGAAAGTCTGGCTTCAATTCGGGGACAGTCTGGTCCCACCAGGAATGGTTAACTGGAAGTAGACGTACCTCAGTCCTCCCCAGAACATTTCTATAAGGAACCAAGAAATTTTAATCTAAATATTAGATGCCCATTACCTGGATCTTGGTCATAACTAAAACCACAAGTTTCTGCTTTTGACAAATCTTTGGCTGTCTACAATTGTCTCTATATACAATCTACATTCTTCCACAATGCATTAAATCCTGCTGTTGCTGACGTTCAAGGAAAGACCTACCACTGCTTTCACCAGGCTAGGATTTTATCCAATTGTATAGCCAGAAGATCAAAGTGAATTACACATGTGGTTTGTGGATTCCTCCAAGAGCAGAAAAAGAAATCCAAGTGACCCTCAAACAAAGGATGGAAAAGAAATTAAAGAGGAAATGATGATATAATTTTAGCTTGAAGCCATTCTAAGACAGCTAGAGAAAGTCATGGGAGAATTATATATATATATATATATACGCACGCATACACATATATATTCCTTCTTCACTATAAACCAAAATTTTTCAAAAAATAGGATTTTTAACTATCACATTAAGTTTTGCAAATCTAGAAGAACTCTGAAATGAATGTTTCTTGTCCTGTTCATTTAATCAACCAGATATGCAGGCAAAAAATCTACCAAACAGTAGTCCTCAGCTATTTTCCATTGACCCATTACCATTTCTCTCTTTGAAATTCCCCAGTAAAGCACTAAAAGCCTTCACTAATACAGAAAATGTTCTACCCTTTCTTTAAGCTGACACCTGCAAAGTTGTATGCTCTTGTGTGTCTGCAACCTCGAAAAAAAGACAAAAAATAACTTTTGCTCTCAAACCCAGCAATACATAATGCAGGTTTCAGTAAATTATACAGCTACAACTACCACTTTCTGGTAAGGCAAAACTAATTCTTACACTGGCTACCCATTATCATCACCTGGAAGATCTTCTGCTGTAGCAATTGCCCCTGAACAGAAAATGAACCTTTCAGAAGGTTGAAGATTCCCTGTGTAACGAAGGCTATACACAGGTCTTTGCACAAATACCCGAATTCCCTTTCTGCCTAAGACTCAGGAACATTCAGGGACCAGAAAACAGTTTAGATGCTCAAATAATTTATTTTAAATAACATAATTTTTAACTATATTGCCTGAATAAATTCTTCCACCTATATTATACCATCAAAGAATATCAAATATGAAAAATGTGACTTTCTGGCCAAGCTATGTTATCACTTTAAGATTAATAGTTTTCTTTAATATGACAAATATTTCAGAACATAGAACTTGCATAATAATCAGCTCTTAAAAGACTGGGGCTTTTTTAATCTACTGAGTGTCAAACAGGGACATTTACAATGAAGTACAAAGTTCTACTGAGAGTTCTTTAGGAAGGAGAGGTTATATTGACTTCCAAGGCCGTATATATGTTTCTCTGTGCAGGAGTTCTTCATCTTGCTAAAACTTTTGATAGAAAAGTTGTGGTCACCCACAAATGAGTAGCCCAGTGTCAAGCTAATTTATTGCAGTAACTCAAGTTAAAACCCAAACAAACATAGAAGCCAAAGTTATGCCTCGTTATTTCAGCTACTGACATTCAACACTTTTTCTTTTCTTTTTCCTTTTTTAATTACCAGTAATATATTTTGGAAATTTTATTAACTAAAAAGTTAAGGAGGAGATGTTAAAAATGTTATATTAAATCAACTCCTCTATACCACCCAACATTTCATATCTTTGTCCCTGTACCATGTCAAGGAGCAGCTTAGGCCTCCTATTAAAATAGTTATCAGGCACTTCATTACACCTATTTTTTGATATGGAGTCTCCATTAAGCAAATACTTCTCACTTAGATGTTTCTTTCTTTGTCTTGTACTTTCTTAGCTATGGATTAGTAACTTCTAAAGGGACTGCAGTAAGAAAACAATATAACAATGTGGCTTAGCATGATGTCCCTGATTAGGCTCTGTAAAAAGAGGAAATTAAGGATGAGAGTCACAGCTTGCTACTCTATATTCAATTATGACTGGCTTCTTTGTGGCTGTGGCTCATGCAGGATGTGCAGTTATCTAATACAGCCCAATTCTGGCAGCAGAACAATTAGAATGCAAAGTATAACTTAAAACAGGCTCTGGCAATATTTTTTTCCTTTGGTTGTGACATCTTCAGCAGACTTAAAACAGCAGTCATAGGATTGTATCCTATCCTGAAATTCCAAATTCATATTCTGAAACCAAATGCAGCTTTTGAAATACTTGACGATGTGAAAATTGAATACGATATGACTGAAGAAAGCAAGTAGAGAAGGGCTTTGATGCCTACACATGCACATATGTACAAAATCTAAGAGAAAAATAAATGCAATATTTAAGCACAACATCCTAAAATTGAACTCTGTTCTGTGGTGAGCTCAAAGCAGGTTCTTATGTCAACTAATACGTCAATAACATGCTCAAGGTGTGCAATGTTCAAGCACCCCACCACCATTAATAAATATTGCACATCTCCTTGTTTTGCATGACTCATTTTTAGTGAAGATTGCAAGAATCTGGCAGGGTTTTCCTACCTAACAATAATCATCACCCTTCCTCCCCAATTGGTCTGCAGAGCTTCCTGATGAGGTGGCCTTGCTGCAGAGCATAGCACAAAGTCAAGTCACACACAGATTAAAATACCTCTCTTCCTACACGTTTCCACTTTGCATCTATTTTTTCCTCCAGACACACATTCTTAAGCATCCTTCTGTTTCACTGATGATAGCTCAGGTACTTCAATAACAGCTTGAACAGCAACGTGAAGGAAACACAATACTCAAAAAAGCTCCATCTCAGGAAGCCTGTAAATTGGCTCCTGCCAAGAGCTAGGTAAGTATACTGGAAAATATTGCTCTGGTTTTGTCTTATTATATTATTTTCCTGCTATTGGCCACTGTTAGAGACAGAGTGCTGTCCTAGACTGATGTTTGTCTGGATCTGGGACATTCTTAAGTGTGCGTGCTGTGCTCCTGCACTCTGGTCTGTCTATCAACTGCAAGGGGGAAAGAGTTCAAATCCCCTTGCCTTTTCCTGTGGTATAAGGAGTATCCTTTCATCCCTCCATTCTTAACTGGTAGAGTTTTCAGCAGTTGTATTCTCCCTCCCAAGTTCTGTTTCTGTTATAATTCACTATCTCTCACAGTTATTTTCAGTAAAAAAAACACAAAGATGTAGTTAAAAGAGAACATCAAGTGGGGCTGTTGGATATTATCCAGTGATCAGAAAGAAGTGTGGAGTCTTTATTCATTTCAAAACCAGCCAATTAACAAGTTACAGTGACAAGCCAATGAAACGCTTCCAGAAATGACATACTTACCCTTTAGTTTGAGGTCCACATTGTGTCGCAGCCAAGGATAAACACCGTAGTTTGACATATCTTCAGGAATAGGGTGATTATATATCCAGCCATCACATGCAAATCGATAAAAGTTCTCACATGGATCTACAGATTGATTTATCTTGCTTAGGATGCCAGCAGCTGTAAAAAAGACATCACAAAGATTTTGTGGAACATTTTTTCCTAAACAGAGAATTACACAAGGCTACAGTCCAGAAACAATGATTAACATTTACCAGTCTCTGGAACATGATGCTGACCTTACTTGCAAGCTAAACTTTGCTGTTCTAGGACTAATGTGTGCCCTGATCGCTGCCCTTTTTTAAAGAGCAGCAAAAATATTATCCAGATTGTCCAGCATCTAACCATGCCTACATGAAAAGCAAAAAAAAAAGACAAAATATGTGCAATGAATGGTCTTGAGTGCTATACAGCAATGACCACTAAACCTAGCACTACAGGAACATGAACTGCTGGAGCCAGACACCTGAAGACAGGCTCTCCATTGTTGCTGTGATAGAATTAATTGCCTGAGGAATTTAGTAGCAGTACATATCAAGCAGATTATAATTAGCATTCCAGAAATTATGCACTGTTTACCTTTAGCTGAACAGTTGCACAAGAAAACAAATCAAGTTCTGATTTACCATTCACTGGAAAAGATAATTGCAGTATTTTCAGCTCTGTTTTGTGACTGCATCTCCACTGGTCACTATTGCAGGTGAGACTGGTAAGGGAGAGATCAGTCTGACCAGTCAAAGATTTAATATCTTTTAAGTATCTAATCACAGAATGGTTTGGGTTGGAAGGGACCTTTAAAGATCATCTAGTCCAACACCCCTGCTATGAGCAGGGACATCTTTAACTAGATCAGGTTGCTCAGAGCCCCGTCCAGCCTGGCCTTGAATGTTTCCAGGAATGGGGCACCTATCAGCTCCCTGGGTGACCTGTTCTGGTGTTTCACCACCCTCATTGTAAAAAATGTCTTACTTATACCTAGCCTAAATCTGCACCCCTTTAGTTTGAAAGTGTTACCCCTTTCATACATTCAGGTGATTGTGGCATAAAGCTACATGGATCGCATAACACAGAATATGTGGATGCTGGTGATTTTCTGACTAAAAAAAATGTGTGTTTTGAGGCTTATCCCAATAACAGATTAAAAATCCTAGCAGAAAATCTGATAACTTTTGCAGAGTTTATGGTGCTATTTCTAGCATGCAGTAAACTCTTCTTCACCCACTTTGAGAAACTCTTCCTATGATATTTCTATGTCTCGGCTGTAATTCTCCCTCTCACAATAGAAACTCTCAAACTGACTACATTAAAGACATTTTGGTCTTTGGCAATTTTCTATCACTCTTGAAAAACTGTTCAGCAAGGCAAGTCTCAAGACACTATGTAGTCACTACACAGAGTACTCTGAGATAAAACAGTCAGGTCAGGTAGGTTTCCTACTCTTGCCTAGGTGCAAAATCCCACCTTCTGCTGAGCTTACCAAAAAATTTGTGTTGTTTCCTGTGCATATGAGAAGAAAGCCAATTCAGATTCTAACTTCTTAAGCGACTTTTTTTGTTCTGACACTGAAGATAAAGCCCCCACACATTTGTTGTTGTTGGGGTTTTGGGGGTGGTGGTGTTTTGATTAGTCATCCCACCTTACTTAGATCAAGACTCAACTCTGGAGGGTGGTGCCCAGGGCAGCCAAGAGCACTGTCAGGGCAGCTCAAAACAAAAGCAGAATGGCAAGAAATGTTCTGGTAATGCTGAGATCTGCAAATTTTTCAATTTATGGAGCCCCACAGAATTTTTCAGGATTTCAAACACAAGCCAAACAGTATCAGCTTAATATGGCCCAGAATGGAAATAAATACTCTTATAAGTTCACATAATGTCCACTTTGTTTCCAATAAAATATCTCTAGGGGCAGATTTCCAGATGTGGTAACTATTGTTTGATCTTTGCTCTCATTATACTCAGTGATAAAACTCTCACTGATTTTGTGCAAGCAGAATTGTCGAACTGACCAGTAAAAAATAGGTGTCTCCCAGGTCCTACCAAGCCTGGTCCCTTTAGCTTGCATTAAATACAAATATATATCCCTGCTCTATAAGGGTTATCACATGTATCTGTGTGGGGAAAAGAGCCTGCCAATATGGAAGTAGTTGCAGATTTTGAGTCATAGTCACCACATTACAATTGTGCAAGTCTGTGCAAGATCTGGCCCTAAAGCATCTCTCTGCTTAACAATTCACTTGCTCGTTTTCTGACTGCTGTGAAGGAAACAACAAAATACACCTCAAGGTTAAACATTTTATTTCCTATTAAAAAAATAAATAAACCCTATGGGAAACTTTGAGTTAACCTGAGTGGAATAGAGTTAAAATATTTAAAAATTGAATTTCAATTATAGAAAATAAACAGATCTGCAGCAACTTAAACAGTGACTTTTAAAAGTTTAGGTCATTTTTTTTTTCTTCATTATTAATAAAGCTTTCTGAATAAAAAGTATCATGGAAAAAAATGTAAGCAGTACAACTATCTCGTTAACTTAATATAATCACAATATAATAGAGAGGATAAAATTGTTGCTTACCAGCTTCAATGCATTCTGAGGTCAAACAGTACTGTTGCTTCGAATTAAACTTTATAAGACCTTGGCTAACTGCAAAATGGAAAACCACAATGAGATCATTTGTGATGAATTTTGACCATTGCATCCAAATGTTGTGTACTTGATCAATCAAATCTCAGGGCAACCTCTGGCCCTCAAGCACCTCTGGCTACCTTGATTTTAAAAAGTTAGAATGTATATTAAGTACTGTAGCTCATAATAAATAATTTTCCCCTCCTGTGTCTGCTTTCTGCTCCCCCTGTCACTGCACGGAGCAAGGGCTGTCTCTCAGGGTACGTTTGCACAGTGCCTGGAGTAACAGCACTTCAGCCTCACTCACTGACAGCCAGTGCCACCACGACACAAACAATTAACATCCTCCAGAGGTGCACCCTCCACAGCCGGCAGCGCAACGTGGAGCTCTCTAGCCGCCTTCTGCTGGGTTTCCACCGCTCCTCCCGAGCTGTGGGGCTCGCGCTGGCCCCTGCACCTCCTCCTGCAGCAGCCCTGCGCTGCCCGGGCCCACCGGCACAACCCAGCCCCAGCGGGACCCTACCAGGGTCCCCTTGTTCCAGCCTGGAATAAACCAGAGAGCCACGGCGCCAGGATAGCTGTGGTTTATAAGGCACGGCGCAGTTTCTGTCTGAACTGGCTCCCAAATGGATTGTAATTGCATTTGCTTCCAAAAGCCTTGCTGACAAGAACTATGAAATTGTCAGTTAATTTTGCTCATCTTTCAAAAATGTGTATTACATCTGCCTCTGAGACTTAAGCATAGGAATTGCTAATTTCAAACAGTGCTGTCAGGCAGCAAATATGCAGATAATTGATACTTGGGATGAAGATGGGAGAGTCCCAAAGGGTAGATAAAATGAGACTCAGTAGATGTGCTCAGTAGACATAAAGAAATGTCTCGTTATATCCATTATCTTAATAACTCAGTCTATGGCAAAAATAGAAAAAAAGAAAAAGAAAAAAAAAAAAAACAACAATGGAATATATTAAGGTATCGTAGCTTTACTAGTGGTGATAGTAATAAAGCAATTTCTCCTGCAGCTATATATATTGTTCAAAAGGAATAGGAAATGTGAAATGGTATTTCAGCACAGGAAAATTTTACTATAAAAAATCTAAAGCTAGAATAGAATATAAAGATGTTTCATCTCTTCCAGCCTCATAGCTTAAATGAGAATTAATCACAGAAATGGCTGGATTTCAATCAAATTTTCTTAAAACCTAAGAATGCAAAACTATTTCTGTACAACTCTACCAAAGCTCGCACTGACTCAGTGAAATACAACACCTCAACAATCTTTGTAAGTTAGTCAAGAAATACACAGGACTTTGAGGCACATGAAGATTGTAATTGGAATATTGAAGAACAGTAGAAAATAGAGAAATGGAGGTCTCCAGAATACGATTTTGAGCCACATGAAATACAAATAATGGATAATGTGCCTATTAATTAAGTGTTTCACTCCTTCCAACTCACCTTTTCCCTGCTTTAAAGTTAACCTATTAGAAACTGTCCAGGTCTTGAAAGTTTGCTAGGTTTTTTTTCTTAACAAAGCAGAGAAAGGAAGCAAAATCCTAGATACTATTTAGTTTTTTTGCACTTGATGGCATGTGAGGAAGTACAAAAAAGAATCAGTAAAGTATCTGAAGTAGCCCTCATTGTTTCAATACATATAAGCAAAAGCAAAATACCATTTCAACTGGTTTTGTTCCATTTACAACTTCAACGTTAGAGCAAACTAAAAAAATTTCTTTGGCAGTAATGCTTTCCTTTTAATTAACAGCTAATTTTGGTTGAAAAACTTTGCCTGGTTTTGTTCTCTTGTTTTTTTGTTGTTGTTACGAGAACTAACCATTACATTATTACCTACAATTGTGTTTATAACACTCAGTGTCCCAGCTTCTTCCTTTATAAGCCCGTTTCCAGATTCTTAGGCAAATATATACAGTAATTAAAATTCCTCCAAAAATCTGAAAGGGGAAAAGGCATAAAGTACGCAGATGCAAACAATGTGGATGTTCCCATAATCTGAGAAGTCCAAAGGGCTACCAAGTCAGGAGAAGAGGCTACCAAATCAAGGTTCAAAGCTGCCTGACTTCTTGCCCAAGGGAACTGGTGGGCAATCTGCTTCCTTTTGCTCTGGCCCCGGCTCCCAGTGTGGCTCCTGTCCTGCCACAGCCCACACTACCATCTGGAGAGCTGCAGGCAGGACCCCGCCTGATGCCAAGTGAGTCCCCTGGTAGCTCCCCACTGTAGTCACAGTATGGCTACAGCTGGTACGAGCAAATAGCAGTAAATTAAAATACATGATTCTTCCAGATTCTTCTTAGAGTTGTAGGAACTCGGAGAAGAAGAAACAAGGAAAGCAGGAGAAGGCTATGTTTCACTCCTTCAGGCTCAAAAATTGAAGGGAAATAGTTTCAAGTCTACCAGAAACAGCAGGTTTTGCAGATTAAATGAAAACTGAAGAAAAAAGGTAATCTTGAGGTCCTTAAAATGTTTCACAGGGCTAGAAATAATGGTCTCCTTTTCTACAGTTTAACAAAGCTAAAAAAGAATTAAACTCAAACTTAAGATCAAAGTACAGTGTCAAAATGAAACATAAAAACATTGACAAAATGTTAAACCAAATCAATTTAACTTTTTCTTTTATTCTTTTGATTGAAAACCTCAGATATTTTCCAAAAAAATCCTAAAAACATTTTGTTTGACCCAAGGCCAGCATTTTTATTTTCTTAGTAGTTATGCCAATGAAAATTTTAACACTGAATCCCTGGCTACGGAATAGGCCTCAGCACACTTAGAAACCTATCTCTAAGAATAAATATATTTGCCTGAATTTTCACATCTGGTCTATGGATAAAGTACTTTTATCTCTGACAAGCTATGCTGGTTTACATCTATTTCTTTTTACAAGCAATAAACAAACAATCTAGTGAAAAGAAGAAAAAGAAAAAGAAAAAGAAAAAGAAAAAGAAAAAGAAAAAGAAAGAAAAAGAAAAAGAAAAAGAAAAAGAAAAAGAAAAAGAAAAAGAAAAAGAAAAAGAAAAAGAAAAAGAAAAAGAAAAAGAAAAAGAAAAAGAAAAAGAAAAAGAAAAAGAAAAAGAAAAAGAAAAAGAAAAAGAAAAAGAAAAAGAAAAAGAAAAAGAAAAAGAAAAAGAAAAAGAAAAAGAAAAAGAAAAAGAAAAAGAAAAAGAAAAAGAAAAAGAAAAAGAAAAAGAAAAAGAAAAAGAAAAAGAAAAAGAAAAAGAAAAAGAAAAAGAAAAAAAAGAAAAAGAAAAAAGAAAAAAGGTCTCTCCATTACTCCCTGGTGTTTGATACTGTATTCTTTAAGTGAAAATCATTATTTTTCATCTAGAAACAGTATTTTGCACTAACAAGTTGAAGATTAATTCCTGCTCATCTTTATAAAGAGTTTTGTTGAATTGAGTGATATTACTTACATACACCAAAGTTACTCGCCTGCAAATGTTTGCAGAATTTGCTCTAGAGCAGCAAAACTCTGACCGAGTATGAACCTGGTTCTTTAAATATTCTATAGAGAACCTGGAATAATTTTCTCTGTTGTGATTATAAACAAAACAGACCTTTCAAACGAGATCACAAGATCATAAAGGACTGGAGGGAAGCAAGGGATATGCTTAGAGGCTGTTCCCTCCTGTCCAGGGAAATCTGTGTTGGTCTAAAGAAATGAAAAGTTGGGCTGAATTATTCCAAAAGAGGATCTGTCTCTGCATGTTCTTACAGGATACAACACTGCTTTCTCTTCTCTGCTTGGTGGTTCTAGGTACATTTATATTTTTTCACATCGTTTTATAGGTGTAGGCATATGCTTCTTGTGATATTCCAACAAAATCAATCTACAGATGATTCCAAATCCCAGAGAGGAAAAACTAATTCCTTCTCTATTGTGTCCAGTTACAGCTTAGAAATCTGATCAAAACATATTAACTTCATCCTGGATGCACTCTTTATGATTTTTGCAAAGACGACTTTGCAATTCATTGTCGAAGAACAGAAAGATCTAAGAAATATGCTAGCAGATGCACTATTGAAGACTTCTACGGGAATTTTAGTCAAGCCCTAAATGAAAACCAAATGAAGGAAAACCCAAAAGATTCCATAAAATATGTGCACTATGGATTCATTTTCAGGAAACAGAGAATATTACTCCACATCAGTCACTATCTGTGAGTTTGTAATCAGCATTACTAATATGCATCATCTCACCCGTTTCTCCCCATTCTGTGAAAGAACCCAGCTCTGGCTAGAACACATTCACCTGAATATCCATATCTAAATTCAGCATTCAAAAAGCTACATGAGCTCACGTTGCATTTTCCAGCTCTAGTGTTCCCATAATAAATCCCTTTCCTGACACATTTCCATTTCAGGACGAATATAAAATGGGGGAAAAGAAGAAACCGAGATTTTCACCAAAACACAGCGTGGAGCACAAACACCGGCACCAAGCAGACAGGCTGGGGAGGGTTGCGTTCAGGTTAACCTCAACATTTTCACTTACCCAAGAAAAGTGCAGTGCCAAGCACAACGGTGCCACCCACAAAGATGCCGAGGGCGATCCGTGTGGCTTTGCTGGGTGCTTTCCTGGCCTTGGCTACCGTCTCTCCTTCCATCGGGATGGCTTGGGACGTGCTTGCTCTCGCAGAAGTCTGGTTTTCCTCTGCTGCTGTGGTATCAGTACTTCAACTGTTTGCAGACTGCACCCATGAGCTCTCCTCCTCCTCTCTCCTATTTAGAACTCCAGGTTTGTGTTGTGAACCATTTCCTAGGCACTTCCTGCTCTCTCCCTCTCAGAGGAAAATCATGCATAAAATAGTAGCTGTCTCCTACGTTTTCCTCTGGCCAGGAGGAGGAAAGGCAAGCGGTGACCACTGTATGCACAGCCCTTGCTGCCTGTAGAGCCTCTACGAGCCAATCGCTCAGCAAGCCCCCTTATCAGGCGCTCCAAACACGAGGATTTCACAACGTTGCTGAACAGATGTTTTAGCTATTCAAACATATAGCTCTAAACCCCTTACAATCAAAGCAGGATTGCTGACAACTTTTACAAATATGAGACTGATGGAAGGTTTTCTTTTTTCTCCTTGTGCTTATTTAAAAAGACTAATTATCTGCTGACTAAAGTTTCCT